TTCGGTAGTTCGAAGGCGACGTCGACGACAGCACATAACCTTCTTCTGCTCGGGTTCGGGGACGGTTTAGAGGTATGGAATAAGTCAGGCAAGGCTCTGAGGTTCATTTTGGTAGGAGGTGAACCATTGAGTGAGGCTGTTGTGCAATTTGGGCCATTTGTGATGAACACTCAAGAGGAAATTGACCAAACAATTGATGATTTTGATAATTATACCAATGGGTTTGAGAAAGCAAGGCATTGGAGATCAGAAGCTGCAATTTCTCTTGGGTTCTAACCTTTTTTTTTTTTTTTTTTGTTCATAACAAAAAAAAACCATTGTTCGTTGGTTCAATCCGTTTCCCCGTTAATGAAAATAGTTATAATCTTCATTTGAACCTCGCCCTTTATGAGATCCCACATCAGTTGAGAGTGGAACGAAACATTCCTTACAGGGGTGTGGAAACCTCTCTCTAGTAGACATGTTTTAAAACTGTGAGACTGACAACGATACATAACAAACCAAAACATACAATATATGCTAGCAGTGAGCTTGGGTTGTTACAAATGGTATCAGAGCCAATCATCGGACGGTGCGAGACACTGGTCGAAATAAGGCTAGATCCTTTCTCTAACAGAAAAAATGGTATCAGAGCCAATCGTCTAGCAGTGGGCTTGGGTTGTTACAAATGGTATCAGAGCCAATCACCGGACGGTGCGAGACACTAGTCGAAATAAGGCTAGATCCTTTCTTTAACAGAGAAAATGGTATCAGAACCAATCACCTAGCAGTGGGCTTGTGTTGTTACAAATGGTATCAGAGCCAATCACCGGACGGTGAGAACCAATCACCTAGCAGTGGGCTTGTGTTGTTACAAATGGTATCAGAGCCAATCACCGGACGGTGCGAGACACTAGTCGAAATAAGGCTAGATCCTTTCTTTAACAGAGAAAATGCCAATCACCGGACGGTGCGAGACACTAGTCGAAATAAGGCTAGATCCTTTCTTTAACAGAGAAAATGGTATTAGAACCAATCACCTAGCAGTGGGCTTGTGTTGTTACAAATGGTATCAGAGCCAATTACCGGACGGTGCGAGACACTAGTCGAAATAAGGCTAGATCCTTTCTTTAACAGAGAAAATGGTATTAGAACCAATCACCTAGCAGTGGGCTTGTGTTGTTACAAATGGTATCAGAGCCAATCACCGGACGGTGCGAGACACTAGTCGAAATAAGGCTAGATCCTTTCTTTAACAGAGAAAATGGTATTAGAACCAATCACCTAGCAGTGGGCTTGTGTTGTTACAAATGGTATCAGAGCCAATCACCGGACGGTGCGAGACACTAGTCGAAATAAGGCTAGATCCTTTCTTTAACAGAGAAAATGGTATTAGAACCAATCACCTAGCAGTGGGCTTGTGTTGTTACAAATGGTATCAGAGCCAATCACCGGACGGTGCGAGACACTAGTCGAAATAAGGCTAGATCCTTTCTTTAACAGAGAAAATGGTATTAGAACCAATCACCTAGCAGTGGGCTTGTGTTGTTACAAATGGTATCAGAGCCAATCACCGGACGGTGCGAGACACTAGTCGAAATAAGGCTAGATCCTTTCTTTAACAGAGAAAATGGTATTAGAACCAATCACCTAGCAGTGGGCTTGTGTTGTTACAAATGGTATCAGAGCCAATCACCGGACGGTGCGAGACACTAGTCGAAATAAGGCTAGATCCTTTCTTTAACAGAGAAAATGGTATTAGAACCAATCACCTAGCAGTGGGCTTGTGTTGTTACAAATGGTATCAGAGCCAATCACCGGACGGTGCGAGACACTAGTCGAAATAAGGCTAGATCCTTTCTTTAACAGAGAAAATGGTATTAGAACCAATCACCTAGCAGTGGGCTTGTGTTGTTACAAATGGTATCAGAGCCAATTACCGGACGGTGCGAGACACTAGTCGAAATAAGGCTAGATCCTTTCTTTAACAGAGAAAATGGTATTAGAACCAATCACCTAGCAGTGGGCTTGTGTTGTTACAAATGGTATCAGAGCCAATCACCGGACGGTGCGAGACACTGGTCGAAATAAGGCTAGATCCTTTCTTTAACCGAGAAAATTCAAAGAAGATAATATCTATTAGCGGTGAGTTTGAGTCATTACATCCTTAATTTTAAGGCTATGTCATCCTAAGGTGTTGCTAAACGGAACGATCTTATCAATGTCCATGAATGATTAATCATAGATCGAACGGCCAAACCGAATATATATATATATATATTTTTTTTTTAATTTTAACATAAAAAAATAAAGTTGAAAGAACAAATTTGAATTTTTATTTTTATTAATTTCCCTTTAATTTTGGTCCTCCCATTTTATGCTTGTGGACCAAACCAATAATTGATGTTCCCCAACTTTCCTTGGAAAAAGTGGCCAATGGGTATAAATTCAAAGTGGAAAAAAAAATGGTTATTATTAATTTTTATTAATTTTTTCCTTTTTATTTTAAATTCCTATATATATATATATATAGGTAATGTTTAATTATTAAATACGAGCATATGTTACATCGATTACATAAAGTAGGGGTGTATACAGGTTGAGTTGACTCAAGTTGAATTTTTTTTTAGACCAATTCAAAATTTCGAATTAGTTGGATTGGTGACCCGAGTAACTCAAAAACCTCAACCCTCTGTTATTGGATCGAGTTGTAATATTGTTTTATTTAAAATAAAAATGTTACTGATGTACCATACATGTTACATTAATAATTAAAATCTCATAAAATTCAAATATCAAATATTTACGGGTTATAATACATCACTAACATGAGTTACAAATGTTAAACGTTCTTAATCTTTTTTAAATTAGGGTAAGGGGTTGGGTTGACCCGACCAAAAAAATGTCAACCCCAAACGAATTGACATTTCGATCTTCTAAATATTCAATCCAGTCCAAACTGAAAAAATAATAATAATAATAATAATTCAACCTAACCTTTTATGGTTTGAGTTAGTAATCTGGATTGGTTGGATTACTAGATTATATGAACATCATTAAGAAGGTATGGTTTCGAACACAGATATTTATAGATCGTAAATAAAATAAATATAATTTTAATGAAAAAATTAATACGCTAGGAGACCGTAATTAACTAACCTCTTATCTATTCTCCTCTCGATATTAAACTTTATCCTGTTGTCAAATTGTCAAATCTAGACTTTTACTCTGAGCAATAAATACGTCATTTAATATAGTTTTGTATGGTTCCTACCATGACCTAAAATATAATTTGAACCATTTATATTTTTCATTATTTTTTTTAGTAATAAGACTATTATTTAATTATTTAATTATTTTAATAAATCAAATGATTTAATTTTATGAAAACGACAAGTAGTGGGTTTGAGCTGTTACAAATGGTATCAGAACTGGTCATCGAGTGGTGTGCTAGCGAGGACGCTAGGTGTCACAATCATACTTGTCCAAAGGCGTGTTGTTTATGGCCGCATGTTGGATGTCTCAATTATGCTTGTCAAATACGTGTTGTCTATGGTCACATGCATGTTTCAATTTAGACAGTCATTTACTATTTTATGTTGTGTCAATACAAGCGTGTAGGACTGTTCACCAAAATCATGTCTACCCCCCAATGTTAAAATACCCCAAAATGTACTAAGGGGATGCGAAGCTCATATGCTATTTAAGTCGTGATGTTGCTTTCTTCAATTCTTTCAAATCGTTTTTAAATGTATTTTCTCGCTTACATGACTTGAGACCCGAGCATACGTCGACGTTGTCCACGACGTCTTAATTTCTCACCACTGGCTTGTTTATTAGGTTAAAACAAGTGTCGTACAATCGCTGTCTCGCTGTTGTAAGAGTGCAACTGTGACACCCGACTCCCAAAAGGGATGGATTGTGAGATCCCACATTTGTTGGAGAGATTAACGAAACATTTCTCATAAGTGTGTCAAAACCTCTCCCTAGTAAACACGTTTTAAAATCGTAAGACTAACGACGATACTTAACCGACCGTAACGAACAATATTTATTAGCAGTGAGCTTCAGCTGTTTTTGTCCCGTATTTATTTCCTAGAAAATACTCATTGTCACCTTATTTCTTCCGAATAATAAATTATTAACGAAAAAACTCATTTTCTTTTCAATCTACCTTAATATTCCATATTGATATAAATATTTTTCAAAAAAGGAAAAAAAAAGGTTGGAGCCAATTAAAAAAATAAAAAATAAATAAATCCCTTTTTCTTCAATGGAGTCTATATTATTTTAATTTTATTTTTTATTTTTTTTGTTATTATCATTTCATTTCATTACAATTATCCCTAATTTTTAAAATTTATTAAAATATAACTATTTATTTTATTTTATTTAAAATTTAAACACATGCTGACGTGGAAAATAGAGTGGCTCTACCAGCAAAAACTCATCTACAATATACCTCGTAGTTGGGTGTACCTTCATTAGGCGTCAAATGTGATGATGTACCTAATCGTTTAAATCAGATCTCTATTTTGGTACAATGGGAAAGAGTTTACCATAGTCAGTGCACTGAGATTTGTGGAACTAATCATGCCTTTACATGTGTGCTCGGAAACATAGGCCAATTGCTAAATTCACTCTGGCTCAGCCGCACCACCCTAGGTGCGAGCCACGTGAGAAGCAAGCTATTACAGCTAGTCAGCTATTTATGTTTCTAGTATATAATAATTTTTTTAAAAAAAATCTAAAAATTACTTTTTATATTTTTAAAATTGTCTAAAATACCAAGAAATTTGTGGAAATTAAAATGTAATCATTTTTTTTAAAATATACCAAAAATAAAATCCTCATAAAATATACTAACCCTTGTAATGTTTTTATTTTTTTTCCAAAATAAATAAATAATATCCATTTTTCCAAAGAATATATTTATCATTTAATAAATAATTATAATTTCAAAACTAAAAAATATCTTCTTCTTCTTCTTCTTGTTGTTCTTCTTCTTCACTGTTAGAGAGAGAGAGAGTTTTAGAGAGAGAAAAGCTTGGAAAGGTAAAACCAATCTTCTTCTTCTCTCTCTCTTGTCTCTTTCAGAAAGAGATGAACAATTCTATCTCTCTCTGAGAATCCATGGAAAAAAAATGCTCACACGCAGAGATTGAGTGAAACCCAAGCCATGGGAATGGATTTCAGAAGCTTTTGAAAGCATACAGAAATCATTGTTGCTTCATTTGATTCTCTCTCTCTCTCTCTCTCTCTTGATCTTTTTCAGCCATTTCCGCCATGAACGGCAAAACCCAAGCTCTGTTACTGAAGATCCTCTTCCTTCTCTTCGCCTTCAACACCCTAACTCTCTGCATTTACTTCACTGCCCATTACAAAACATCCTCGTCTAGTTCCTCTCACCGGAAACCCACATCGGAAAACCGCTTCCCCTTCCCGGAAAACCGACGTTCTTCCAAGCCCTGGCCCATTTTGCCTTCTTATCTTCCTTGGTCTCACTCATCCACTGTCCCTCTGCGTTCCTGTGAGGCTTATTTCGGCAATGGCTTCAACCGCCGTGTAGATCTTTTAAAACCTAACCTCGCCGGGAAACTCGCCGGATGGTTCCGATGCTGGTATAGCGAGACTCTGGCGAGTTCGATATGCGAGGGAGCGAGAGTCCGAATGTGGCCGGAGAGGATTTCCATGTCCCGAGGAGGCGAGAGGATTGAAGAAGTGATCGGAAGGAAGGAAGAGACGGAGTTGCCCAAATTTCGGAACGGCGCTTTTGAACTAGACGGCGGCGATACCGTCGCGAGCAAGGAGAGGGTTCTAGCGGATGAGAAATTTCTTAATGGATTCGTTCCGGCAGGGGAGATTCAGAGCCACACCATGCGCGCATTGTTTGGATCATTCCGAGTTGTTTCTGGGAATGATTTCGATTGCCAAGAGGTAGATTATAACTGTTCATCACTCATTTAGAGCTCTTGTTCTTCCATTTCTATATCCATCCATGTTTGAACAAAAACTTTTATGGGATTCTGTGAATTGGGATCTCTTAAACTGACCTCATAATCAACTCATCTTTGTTTTTTTGGGCTTTGGAGCTTCTGTTCTTCCATTTCTGCACTGTTTTTCATTGAAACTGATGAAGATGAAGGCCCCATTCTTAGTTTAGAGTATTAGTTTATGATTCTCCATGATTGAACAACAAGTTTTATGGGTTTCTGTGATTGAGATTTCTTATATTGACTTCAGAATCAAGATTTAGAGCTTTTGTTCTTCCATTTCTTCATGTTTGATTCAAGAATATTAAATTTTATGGGTTTTTGTGATTCTGGGAAGGTGGAATTAATTAGTATTTCCACAGCACATGGTTAATGAATCTAATAGAAAGTTCTTAGTATTATAGTAACTGCAGCAAACATTTTGGCTGGACTCTGTCTTTATTGATATCTAATCTGGACTGCCATTAATAGTATATAATATGCTTTGAATAATCAGTTTAAGTAATCTAAGTGAACATTGTTCTCCTTTTTCTCTCCATTTACAGTGGATTGAGGAGCCTGTGCTTCTGGTGACGAGGTTTGAGTATGCAAATCTTTTTCACACTATTACGGATTGGTATAGTGCTTATGTGAGTTCGAGAGTCGTCGGATTGCCTAATCGACCTCATCTCGTCTTTGTCGACGGGCATTGTAAGGTACGTGTGTCGGGATTGCTTAGCTTTTTTTCATGTCTTTTTGAATGGAGGCTGCTGTTTATGTCTGGTTTATTGAGGAGAATATGTTTGTAGAGTAGGAAACTGAGAAAGAGTTGATTGAGGCTAGAGATGTTGTAATAGCTCAAGCTCAGTGCTAGTAGATATTGTCCTTTTTGGGCTTTTTCTTTCGGGTTTTCCCTTTAAGGCTTTAAAACATGTCTCCCAGGGAGAGGGGAACGAGTGCTAGCGAGGACGCTGGACCCTGAAAGGGGGTGGATTGTGAGATCCCACATTAGTTGGAAAGGAGACTTCCCTTTAAGGCTAGGGAGAGGTTCCCACATCGATTGGAGAGGGGATCGAGTGCTAGCGAAGACACTGGGCCTCGAAGCGGGGGTGGATTGTGAGATCCCACATTGGTTGGAGAGGGGACTTCCACTTAAGGATTTAAAACACATCTACTACATCTGTTAGGCAGAAGTTCCCATATGGATTGGAGAGAGGAACGAGTGCTAGTGAGGACGTTGGATCCCGAAGGGGGTGGATTGTGAGACCCCATATCGATTGGAGAGGGGAATGAGTGCTAGCGAGGACGCTCGGCCCCAAAGGGGTGTGGATTATGAGATCCCACATCAGTTGGAGAGGGGAATGAGTGCTAGTGAGGACGCTGGGCCCTGAAAGGGGGTGGATTGTGAGATCTCACGTCATTTGGAGAGGGGAACGAGTGCCAGCGAGGACACTGGCCCCGAAAGGGGGTGGATTGTGTGATCCCATGTCAGTTGGAGAGGGGAACGAGTGTTAGCGAGGACGCTGGGCTCTGAAAGGGGGTGGATTGTGAGATCCCACGTCAGTTGGAAAGGGGAACAAAGCAGGATGTTGAAACCTCTCCTAGTAGACGCGTTTTAAAGCCTTGAGGGGAAGCCCGGAAGGGAAAGCCCAAAAAAGACAATATTTGCTAGCGGTGAGCTTGGACTATTACGTACAAACTCCTTTCCAATATGTTTGAATTAGCTGTGTTCCTTTGTTTTGTGTATGAGCTGAAAAGGAAAGAATACTAAAACAATGTCATGTTTCGTTGTTTCTTCTTCAATATTTCAAGACACCTTTGGAAGAGACATGGAAGGCATTGTTTTCAAGTCTTAAATACGCGAAAAATTTCAGCGCACCGGTTTGTTTTCGCCACGTGATCTTCTCACCTCTCGGGTACGAAACTGCGCTATTCAAGGGTCTAACCGAGGGGATCAATTGTCATGGAGGTTCTTCTCATGAGCTATGGCTAAAACCTGATGTCCAGAAAACTGCTAGATTATCTGAGTTTGGTGAAATGGTTAGAGCAGCTTTTGGTTTCCCAGTCGACAGACAAGTCGAAAGACCGCCCTCAATCCACAACGTTCTCTTTGTGCGTCGTGAGGATTATTTAGCGCATCCTCGACACGGTGGTCGAGTTGAATCCAGACTTACTAATGAACAAGAAATCTTTGATTCTTTGCAGAACTGGGCATCAAATCACAGGGAGTGTAAAGTAAACTTAGTGAACGGGTTATTTGCGCATATGTCGATGAAAGAACAACTCCGAGCCATCCAAGATGCGTCGGTCATTATCGGAGCACACGGTGCAGGCCTTACTCACATAATATCTGCCTTACCAAAAACTGTCATCTTGGAAATCATCAGTAGTTTGTTTAGAAGGCCTCATTTTGCATTGATTGCTCAATGGAAAGGCTTGGAATACCATGCCATTAATCTCTCGGGATCACACGCTGACCCGAACGTCGTTATCGAGCACCTTTTGCGCATCATGACGAGCCTCGGTTGCTAACTTTTTTGCAGTTTCTCACATTAATCTCTCTTAACTAGGAGAGGGAACACCAGCCCTCTGTATCTACTTACACACTTGGCTGGATGCTCCCATTTTGACAAGCTTTGAGTTTGAAGATACTAACTTGCCATGGACATGGCTTGAAGTAAGGGCTTACCGACCGAGCTCGACGACGATGGAAACTCGGGATATCTAAGCTACATGGTATGTACTCTCTCTAGTTCTTGAATTCCATTTTTAAAGTTCATTACACAGAAGGTATCAATTAGAAGCATTCTTTGAATAGTGAAGACATCCCTGAATTCATTGCTTGTTTCTTGCTGCTCTGTATCTTTCATGTTCAAAATCATGTTTCAACTCGTGCTTACCTTGAATTATACGGTAACGTCATGATTTCTAGAACATGACTAGACCGTCACCACATGCATGCTATTAAAGATTTTCGAAACTTAGTCGTGTAGAATCTCCATAGTTAACACTGTCCACTACGTAGAATGCCTTTGCTCTTGCAAAAGATACGTTTGAAAAAAGTTTGCGATGGTCGGAGAATATGCATAAGTAATAATGACTTGGACTAATATGACTGTAGTGGGACTTAAAACGTTTTTGGATTCCATGGGATGTGCATCATTTTTATACACATGGTTTAATGTACATTGCTTCAACAACTATCACCCACGATGTAGTTGATGGCGACTAGTCACCCATGACTTCGTGCAACATATTTTGGTGAGACAATGACAATTGTAGTATGCATTGTCTCATTTGGACCAGGGTGTCTAGCCCGATCTATGTTGAAGGTAGCCTTCGAACGGCTATCCTTGAACTTATACAGGAACAGAAGAGGTCTGTGTTTGTTTGGTTCTTTCTCCAAGAAGGAAAATCCACTGAACTTTCCTTCTCTAATTGGGCAACAACATTGAGTGGAAGACGATTAGGATCTCTCGTGCGACAACTGTTGGAACAAACTCAGAATCCAAGAGGTACCTAAAGAAAAAGGAAACTCGCCACTGTTTCAGTTGACGAGAAGGAAACGACTTTCACCGGGAGTACACGACGATCAAACAATTGTGAAGGCTAGCAATAAGGCGGGATCGAGGATCGTCAAAGGAAAATGACTACAAGAGTTGCTTATTGCAACAAGGGAACAAAACGCGAGACATGAGGGAAAGAGATCGAGGGAGCTAAGGAAGGTTTGTCACCCATTAGTTCGACCAGCCTAACAAGCCTAATCAACTTTAATACGACAAATAAGGATTTAACAGATGAACAATTTCGAGCAAAAACTATAATCAACTCGTGCCCTAAAACTTATGATATTACATCTACCCAGGAATATACGACTATGAGATATTTCACGTGTCATGTTACTATAAATGTGTTTTTGAGTAGGGATTCAATTAAAAGAGATTCGGTACACGAAACACGAGAGATTAGGGCATACTTTTTAAGAACGGAACGAGGAATGATACGTGGATGGCTTAGAAAAGAAGTAAAAGATGCTAAAGGAGAAAGAGAGAAGAGAAGGCATCTCATTCCCATATTGCCATTTGCTTGGGTGAAAGAAAAGGATTGCATGAGAGAGAGAATGAACCATAAGAGGAACCACTCCCAAGGAGACACTAATTTTATATTATCACTTTCTCTCTCTAGGTGACCTCTCTCTCTAGGTTATTGGACCCTGATGTGACTAATATTGACCCAGACAAAATAATAATAATAATATTCTAATAGATACCGTTAATACTCTGTTTAAAAAAATATTTATTTATAATAATTTTTTTACGATCATACTTAGAAGTAAAAAGAGAGATAATTTATACCTCGCTCGCATTTGGTAGGAACAAATTATAATATTATAATATATATATATATAGTAGGAGTCTTTCTTAGTGTAATACTTGAAACAGCCCTTAAAACGTTCGTGAGCTTAGCTACTAAAGTTGCAAAATTGAAAGGTCTGAAGGACTAAGCTTTACCCGATATGCAACTCGGTTTTCTGCTCGAACGACCCTAACGTACGAAAAAGAAAGAAGAAAGGCAAACCCCTGACTATAAAGCTTCTTGTGAGGAATCTCCCGTTACACTAGCCTTAAACTAATGGTGTGTATATATATATATATAATTTTTGTTAAATAATAAATAATTAATAATTCAAATAACTATAAAAATTGGTTCTAGCGGGGCTTGAACCCACGACCTTCGGCTCATAAGACCAATGCTCTAACCAACTGAGCTACAGAACCACCAATATTTTAATTAAATTAATATTTAAATCAAAATAATATATTTATAAAATTATATTTATAAATCTTTAAAAAATAAAAAAACTAAATTGTTGAATTATATTTTTTTTATTTAATACATTTTTTTAAAAAATTACTTAATTTTATGAAAAATATATCAAAGAGCTACAAAACTTAGGATATTTTATTTAAATCAAAATTTAAATGAAAATAACGTAATAATTATAAATTTATAAATAATAGGGATGGAGAGCTCTTCTTTTTATCTCCGAACAACTATACTTTAAAATTAAATCTCCGCTTACGTTTATTTTATTAACAAAAATAAAAATACATTAAAATAATTAAAAAAAATATCGATATCAACATCTATATCGGTAAAAATGTCAAAATATTATGTATCAATAGTAAGGACGATGTTACATTAATTTATGTAAACGTCAATATAAATATTGATAAAATATCGGTGTTAATTAAATATTTATGAAAATATAACTTAAAATAGAAATAAAAAAATATGTAAAAATAGGGATGAAAATGTCGACCCAATTAAATATATTGAAATTTATTTATTTATTTTTGTAAAAAGACTTAGATACCCTCGTCTATGCATCAAAATTTCAATCCCATTTCTCGTCGGAGCCTTCAAAGCTCTTGGCGGCTGATTCAAAATTGGAGCTTAGATTCCTCAATCTCACTCCTCGTAAGTTACAATCTCGAAATTCAAAGCCTAATTCGTCCTTCTTTCTTCTGATTATCTGTTCTTACTCACGACGCTGAATATTAACTCAAGAATCGAAGTCTCTGAACAATCGGAGTGTTCCGTAATGAGTTTCTCGATGATGAGTTCTTCAGGATGTGAAATTTTGGTGCGAAATTCTCACCAGAAGACTGTGAAGTGCCAATTGTTCCATGAAAGAGAGAAGAAGATGGTGCTCAAATTCTCCAAGTCTTGGATTAACCCTACGAGAGCTCTGCTTAGCAGGCATGAAGCAATTGAGTTTGAAGAGAGGACAAGTCCCATCGAGGTGCTTTCAAATTCTAGCAACTTTTTGGATCTTGCATTCGTTTCTTATGAAAATTCATGGTTATTTTGATTTACATTTGATTTGATGATATCTGAACGTCGAGATCCATGGAATTCAGAAGAAACTACTGTAATTGTCTGTTGATTTCTCCATTTTTTTTTTTAATTTTTTGGTTCTGCAGTTCAATTGGAGGTTTTAGATTTTGAGTGATCTCAGTTAAAAGCTAAGAGATCATGATCAAATTGGTTCTTTCCACCAATGTGTCTTTACCTGTTTTGCTTGTTCCTTGAAGAAAGGAAATCAAATAGTTTTCAAGGATATGTGGGTGTTGGAGGTTGGGGGATTCAAACATATGAGGTATTGGGTCAAGAAGATATGTTTTAACTAGTTGTGTTATGCTTAGACCTATTGATCTAGTTGTACTTAACGCTTCAAAATTTTGATGACTCGATCTCCCCGTCTTGGGTGAATGAGAGGATACATCTCGGTCACGAGAGATAATAGGGAAATATCATAATTCAACTACTAGGATAAGGAGTTTTAGAATGTATGAGATCTCACATTGGTTGGAGAGGGGAATGAAGCATTCCTTATAAAGGTGTGGAAACCTCTCCCTACTGGCGTTTTAAAACCTTGAGGGGAAGCTCTTGAAGGGAAAGTCCAAGGAGGATAATATTTGTTAGCGGTGGACTTGGGTTGTTACAAATGGTATTAGAACCAGACACCGGACAGTGTGCCAGCGAGGACGCTTGACCCACAAGGGGGTGGATTATGAGATCCCACATAGGTTGGAGAGGGGACAAAGCATTCCTTATAAGGGTGTGGAAACCTCTCCTTAGCGGACGCATTTTAAAACCTTGAAGGGAAACCCCAAAGAGGACAATATCTGTTAGCGGTGAGCTTGGGCTATTACAAATAGTATTAGAGTCAGATACCGGGCAATGTGCCAGCAAGGACGCTTGGCCCTCAAGGGGAGTGGATTGTGAGATCCCACATCGGTTAGAGAGGGGAACGAAGCATTCCTTATAAGGGTGAACCTCTCCCTCGCAAACACGTTTTAAAACCTTGAGGGGTAGCCCTTGAAAGGAAAGTTTAAAGAGGACAATATCTACTAGTGGTGGATCTGAACTGTTACAGAACATGCATGGTCATGTTTTCCTTTTGCTCGAAATGTGTATTTCGCATAGATCAAAGTTATTTGCTCACTACACAAAGAGATTGAATAGTTCTTGTAAGGAGGCCACTGTTTCCTCTTTTCTGTGTGGTGGCGGGCATCAGTTGTGCATCTTGGATATCTCAGTTGTATTCTTATCTGTTATGCTAGTGAGTTTCTCTTTTATGGTCAAAACATCTTGTAATTTTAACCATAAAGTGTCTATTTCATCATGTTGAATTGTAAACTTGAACGGGGAGGAAAATAATGCCCTCTTGTAGTTGAGTTGCTGTTTCTTAGAGATTTGTGTTCGGGTTTACGTTTAAGTGTTCCAATGACAATGACAATGGCTAGATGCCAAGTTTTATGGCTATGTTGAGTGTTTATTGTGGCTGGGTTTGAGCGTTTCAGGTGTTGATATTGCCATTTTCTTTGTGCCCTTCTGTGACTATTTGGCCTCTGGAATTCTCTAACTTGATTTAAACTTGTTCTGATTGAGGTTTTGGACATTGTTTTCCCTTGTCTAAGAGTTCTTTGTTTATTGTCTTCTATTATACTCAAGGTCAGAACAGAGTTAGCAAAATGCTATGAATTGATAAACAGACTAGGTAAAGGAGTTGTTTATCTTGGATCTTCAAGGATGGGACCCGATCATGCTCATTATAAGCAAGCGTTCGAGTTGAGTAGAGAGGTAAGATGTTTCTCCATCTTTTATATTGAAGTTAAGAGAAAAGTTCACGACGATGAACCGATGAACCGATCAGTACCTCGGTTCAAACCTTTCACTCTGAGGTGAATGTTCGAGGAATGGAACATCAAAACTTAGATGCATACATGTTATGTAACAGCCCAAGCTCACCGCTGGGAGATATTGTCCTCTTTGGGCTTTCCTTTCTGAGCTTCCCCTCAAGGTTTTAGAACCAATCCTTAGTGAGAGGTTTCTACGTCCTTATAAGGATTGTTTTCTCCAACCAATGTGAAACATTCCTTATAAGGGTGTGGAAACCGCTCACTAGCAGAAACATTCCTTATAAGGGTGTGGAAACCGCTCACTGGCAAACGCGTTTTAAAACTGTGAGGCTGACGGCGATATGTAACGGGCCAAAACGGACAATGTCTGCTAGCGGTGACTTGAGCTATTACAAATGATATCAGAGTCTGACACCGGGCAGTGTGCCAGCAAGGACTTTAGGTCCCCAAGGGGGATGGATTGTGAGATCGCACATTGGTTGGAGATGGGAACAAAACATTCCTTATAAAGGTTTGGAAACCTCTCAGTAGCAGATGCGTTTTAAAACCGTGAGGCTGCCTGCGATACGTAACGGGCCAAAGCGGACAATATCTGCTAGTGGTAGGCTTGGGCTGTTACAAATGGTATCAAAGCCAGATACCAGGCGGTGTGCCAGCGAGGACATTGGACCCTTAAGGGGGTGGATTGTGAGATTTCACATCGGTTGGAGAGGGGAACGAAACATTCCTTATAAAAGTGTTGAAACCTCTCCCAGTAGACGCGTTTTAAAATCTTGAGGGGAAGCCCAGAAGGGAAAGCCCAAAGAAGACAATATCTACTGGTGATGGACTTGGGCTGTTACATGTTAGGAACGAAGGAAAAAAAAAAAAAAACAGATAGAGTTAATGCATAATCATCAACTTTACGAGTCTACCTTTTCAATCCCTGTAATGCAGATTTCAGAACTATTGGATTGCACGACTTGGTCAGGTGTCGGTCCGGGTCTTATGGACGCGGTTACGAAAGGTGCTATGCAGGCAGGAAATCCTGTAGGAGGATTCAAAATCGGTAGAGAATCTGGTGAATGGACATCCTCAAAGTTTCATCCATACTTACCTACAGAGACTTATTTTACTTGCAGGTGATATAGACATAGATCCTATAAGTTATCTGGTAGTACATAGCAAACACTGCACCCTCCCTGCTTGAACTACTCTATATAATGCAGGTTTTTCTCTGCAAGAAAACACGGTCTCGTCGACGCTGCAGTTAGAAGCTGTAGTTCTGATCGGACTGCTTTCGTTACACTCCCCGGCGGCATTGGTACTTTCGACGAGGTGTTTGAGATTCTAGCTTTGATTCAGCTCAGGAGAATAGGGTCAGAACTTCCAGTTCCCTTCCTGTTGATGAACTACGACTCTTTCTACTCGAAACTACTCGAGTTTTTCGATGATTGCGAAAACTGGGGTACCTTGGGGAAGGGCGAGGTCGACTCGCTTTGGAAGGTCTGTGACAATAACGCCGAGGCCGTGGCGTACTTGACCAACTTTTACAATGTGTCTTCATGACAGAGTGAAGAATGAAGCTCAATTGGGAAGCACACATTCTACTACAAACAGTATGCCTCTCTTCTCCTTAACCCTTTTATTCTTCCAATGAACCATTTCAAGTTAAGAGGGCTCATAGGCAATGGACATTCCTTGTTTGTATCGTTGTAATAAATCGAAACGAGCACGTATACATGTCTTAACCGTAACATCTTTTCACGGTCGAGATATTTTTTAAACTCAACCCAATTGTTCGAGTTGTAAATTTTTTCAACCAAACCATAATTTTTAGTTGGGTTAGGTTGGTTCGAGTCCTTTATTCAAATTTTTGTTTTTTATAAAGATAAAAAGATTTGTTTATAAAATATGTTTATTTATTTTCAAATATTTAATTAACAAAGTCAATTTTAATATATATTTTAAAAAATTACCTTCTAAATCGTTAACCGCATCAGAATTAAAGTACATATATAATTATATCCTAATATATATATATATTAAAATTAACCATAAATTTGATTCAAGAACTAATTCAATCCCAAATAAGTTCATAATCCGTCCCAAAATCGGGTTATGTTGGGTTGATCGAATTTTCAAGTCATCGGGTTTTTTGAACACTTTTGATTCGTTTCGTTAAAAAAAATGATTCTAAATATGTTAAATTACCATAAGAACTCCGAGAAAAGAGGGAAATCTTTAAATTTAAAGGCAATTTTGTAATTTCAGCTTTTTTTCAAGTTTTATTATTATTAATATTATTTTACTAATCACCTAAAAAAACAATTATTAACAAACACAATATATAGTGGGCTTACCTAACCATATGAACAAATATAATATATGATCACCACCCATGTTTAGTTTTCATCAATTATTTCATACAATCATATAATATATACTTTAAATGGAAATAAAAACTATAGAGTAAAAAAATATGAAAGATAAAATTCAAACCAAAATGATGGCTTCTTCAATTTCAAAGTAATTGAGACTTTATTGCATTTTATCTTATTCTTATTATATATATTTAACAATATGGGGTTAGGTGAATAAGTTCTTAATAATGGTGAATATGTAATAGAAAATTAATTTTTTTAAAAATAAAAAATAAAAAGTCAAATTTAATGGCATGGTAATGATTTATTGGTAATTCCCACCCAATAATTTTCAAAATTTCAAAAAAGTCCCTAAGTTTTGTTCACATTTTCTTCCCGCCACGCCCAAAAGCTAACACGTTAGATCCGTTATCCATCTCGACCACCTATGTTTTAGGTTAAAATATCATTTTCGTCTTGTTATTTTGAATTTTGTTCTATGATAAGCATAAAAAATGTTGAATTTTGCAAATCTAGAGGTCGTTCTACTGTCGCAAACTCTTACAAATGAAAGCTAATTTTACGATTGATTCCAACTAAGAATGGGTTAGAAGGGTGAGTAACTCTTAGATCGAACTTGGAATCTATGATGGTCACTCTTAGATCATAACTAATCCAATGAATCGATTTTAACATTAAACGTAAATCAAAGTCGGAAAGAAACATAATAGTCAGAGGGTTTCAAACATAAGGTTTTTGTATTCCACCGTGATTTTAAATTTGAATATTACAGACAAAAAAAAGTTAATTCAAACCTAGTGGAGCAACTACAAACCACCAATAAAAGCTATTAAGTACAAATAGAATAAAATAATGAATGACATAAATAGTCTTAAATGGTTGTTAACTACCAAAGACAAAAAGTCTCGTTCGAGTTCATGCAAATGATCAGTTGTTGGATTTGTATCACTATACTTTTAATAAATCTGAAATTGATACCCATGTCTAAGATTTAGAATCCAAATTTGATACCTGATGTCCCCGACATTCCCCTACCTCACTTACGACATAGTCACATTACCTATCTTCACTTTTATTGAAAAACTATCCCCACAAACCAACACAAATTATTGTAAACCACGCTTAACCTTGAAGTTCCTATAATTGAGCCACCGAAAAAAAAAATGCACCTTCTTAGTTGTGATGTCCCGCATTGGTTGGGGAGGAGAACAAAACACCCTTTATAAGGGTGTGGAATCCTTCCCCTAGCAGACGCGTTTTAAAGCCTTGAGGGGAAGCCCGAAAGAGAAAGCTCAAAGAGGACAATATCTGCTAGGGGTGGATTTGGGTCGTTACAAATGGTATCAGAGCCAGACACCAGACGATGTGTCAACCTTCTTGCTATTCTCCGAAGGGGGTAGACACAAGACGGTGTGCCAGTAAGGATGCTGGGCCCTAAAAGGGGTAGATTTGGTGGTGGTCCCACATCGATTGGAAAAAGGAACAAGTGCCAGCGAGAACATTGGGCCCTGAAGGGGGGTGGATTGTGATGTCCCCCATTGGTTGGGAAAGAGAACAAAACACTCTTTACAAGGGTGTGGAAACCTTCCCTTAGCAAACGCCTTTTAAAGCCTTGAAGGGAAGCCCGAAAGGAAAAACCTAAAGAGGACAATATCTACTAGCGGTGGATCTGGATCGTTACATTAGTATAGGTAGTGATTTTCAATTCTGTAAAGTTTTTCTTTGTCATTCTATTTTTGCTCTCATTCAGATGTAGTCTCAGTTCATCCATGTATCAGATTATTGACAAAAATATATATATATATATATATATATATATGCGAACAAAACAATAAATTATGTCACGACAAGATATTTGATAATAGGTTAAAAGGGGAAAAAGGAGAAAAGAAAAAGCAAGAAAAAACTTGTCTCATTATAAAAATTAGAAAATAAATAAAAGAAAAAAATTGAACCAAAATAGTCATAATCTATCAAGATCACCTAAGAAATGATGAGAAAAGGGGAAAAAAGGGCTTTGTTTGGTGGCCCTATTTTATGGCCATTTATTTGAATTTAGTGACCCTACCATCACTATTATGGGTACTCAATTCATTGTTTTCCCACCCATTTTGGGTTTTGGGTATGCCACTTTACCTCTATTTTCAAAATTAAAATAGGTCACTATGTTCGTAGTTGACGTAGTTGACAACGTTCGAGAAAAGGGTTGAATCGAATTCATCGTTTCGTTAAGTAAACATTCTGGGTTTTGGAAACAAGTTCACTGTTTGGGTATGAGATTGAGAAATTCTAGTTATCAATGTTGGTGAGGTGAAGTGAAGTGGCTAGAAGTACTCGTTTCTGGCTCTTTTGTTTTGTGAATTGGGAGAGTCGACAAAAAGATTCGGTTATGACTTTGTAGACCTCGTGTTGTTGTTGTATGCGTGTAGGGTCGTTTTCTAATCCCATCTTGGAGGGCTGAGGGGCTTTGCTTTTGGAATAGATGATCGTGTTTTGCTGGGAAATGAAAAATGGAAAGAGTTGGATGGGGTTTCTCTTGCTTTTGCACGATGGGTTATTTGCTCTGCAATGTGGTGTTTGGGTTTTGAGGGCTTTTAGTCACGTAGATAGTCAAATGTGACGTAGATCATCCTTAGAATGACATACTTCTCGTGTTTGAACCAGGGTTTGAAACCAAATTTCTCCCGAGGAGAATAAACAAGGCGATTCAAGTGAGATCCAACTTTCTATTCACTCGTGGGGTCTAGACAATTTTTGGAGGGTCCATTTCGATGCCTCTCTTTTCGAGAATTCATACATTCCTTATGAATGAACAGCTGTCTCGAATATATTTTTTTTGTACTATTTTAAAAATAGTTTTGTTTTTTTTTTCCCTTATTGTAGAGAAATTAGACAAAGATTTTTTTTAAAAAAAACTTCAAAAATAATTTTAAATTTAAAAAAAATAAATGAAAAATACTTTACCAACTTTCAAAATTAATATTAAAAGTCGGGAGATAATCTATGAATTATTGATAAATTGTTTTCGTTCATATGTTGACCACAAGAAATTTTTCAATAAAAGTAAAAGGGTTAATGTTACTTTTATTTTTAAGAGTTAAGCCTATTCGTTCTTGCGTCGTCTATGGCCAAACGACATATTCTCGAGCCTTTGGCCCCAGTTCAAGAAGAAGGTTTTAGAAAATGGGGTAGAGAGATTTCGAGAGAGAGAGTTTTAAAAGCAAAATTTGAGAAATTGAAACGGGTGCTATATGGGAATGTAACCAAAAGGCAACAACAATGGCTTACTGCATATGACTATCAGGTAGGAAGAAGTTGACAACCAGTCATATCCCCCTACTCTATAGTACATTTTGGGGCATTTTAGCCCTTGTTGGTGTAGACACGATTTTGGTGAATGATCATACACCCTTATACTGACCCAATATGGAATGGTAAAGACCTATCTAGGACGAAAGCATGTAAAAAAGGGTTTGGAACGGGCATGCAACCATGGACAACACGTCCTGGACAAGCAAGACTAGGATATCTGTCATGTAACGGCCCAGATCCACCGCTAGCAGATATTGTCCTCTTTGGGCTTTCTCTTTCGGGCTTCCCCTCAAGGCTTTAAAACGCGTCTGCGAGGGGAAGGTTTCCACACCTTTATAAATGATGGTTTGTTCTCCTCCCTAACCATTGTGGGACATCACAATCCACCCTCCTTCAGGGCCCAGCGTCCTTGCTGGTACTCTTTCCTTCCTCCAATCGATGTGGGATCGCCCCCAAATCCATCCCCTTTGGGGCCCAGCGTTCTTACTAGCACACTGCCTCGTGTCTACCTACCTTTGGGGAACAGCAAGAAGGCTGGCACATCGTCCGATGTCTGGCTCTGATATCATTTGTAACAGCCCAGGCTCACCGCTAGCAAATATTGTCCTCTTTCGGCCGACTTTCGCTCAAAAGGCCTCTCGTTAACGGAATTAACCAGACAAATTGCTCCACCAACTAAGAACGGCCATGCACCACCACTCATAGAATCAAGAAAGAGCTCTCAGTCTGTCCATCCTTACTATGTCTGGATCTGGTGACAATATCTGCTAGCAGTGGACTTGGGTTGTTACAAATGGTATTAGAGCTAGACACTGGACGATGTACCAGCCTTCTCGCTGTTCCCCGAAGGTGGGTAGACACGAGACGGTGTGCCAGTAAGGACGCTGGGCCCCAAAGGGGTGGATTTGGGGGCGGTCCCATGTCGATTGGAGGAAGGAAAGAGTACCAAGAGGAGTTTGGGTCCCGAAGGGGGAAGGGGGTGGAAAAACACCATTTATAAGGGGGTGGAAACCTTTCCCTAGCAGACACGTTTTAAAGTCTTGAGGGGAAGCCTGG